CAGCCAGAGCCAAGATAATAGGACACAGAGGACACCCAGGAGAGGGAAGGACTAGAGGACAAGGCACAGAGCTGGACTTGAGTCCCATCTGTCTAATGATCCCTCCTGGGGATGCACTGTGCCTGGGATGAATGCTAGGAGATGAGAATGAGGGTGGGGGGGGAGGCTGATTTCAGCCTCTGGAGATGAGAGGAAAAGTCCCTTGGCCTATATTAGGCTTGGAATACTCAGGGTAGTCATATCAGGCACATCTGTGTACATCAGGACATTGGGCATGGCCTCTTCACCTTTGGGACCATCATCCTCAGTGGGAGTCACCTGGAGACTCATGTCACCCAGGGACAGTAGCCCCTGCTTCCTCTCCAACAATGGTAACATAACTTTAATTCTCGTTGAAATGCTTTCCTCGTACATAGAGTACATCACCAGCTGTAGGCCTTTGCCAGCTTTCCAACCTAAGTGGTCTGCACTGCTGGTTCTTTGATGGCTGGAGCTCCATGTAATGAGAAGCAATAGTATACATGGCTCCTAGGGTCCCCTCTCAGACTCTGCTCTTCCTTGGTAGGATGGGCTTCAGATGTTCACATGTCCCTTAACTGCTGTGACAAGGACGCAGCAGAACCTCTGCCAGCCGTGCAGAGACTCAGCCTCTAGAGCAGGAATAGCCCTGCCTGATGTTGGCTTGCTGGGATTTGGGGAGACACTTGTTACTGCCACAAAGCCCTGCCCATGCAGGTTGATTCACTTAGGACATCCCGGGTTGTTCTGTAGATAGATGGAGTTGCCAAGGTAAAGCACTCAGAAGGGCTCAGTTTGTAGCACATGCCCAGCCTGTGACTCAGAGACCTGGCAGTCACTCAACAACAAGGTCCAGGCCAGTTTTGGTCCTTCACTCATCCATCTCCATCATCTGCCTCCTATTAGTGCTTTGGCTTAACTTCCTAGCCACTGTCACTTGTTCCCAGTCCCACCTATACTGGCTTCCATCATCTCCTTCCAGAGGTGCCAGGCCTCTGGAAGAGAGCATATGCCTCACACCTGCTGGGCATATGCTCTCTAGAGCTTTGCATAGCTGATTCTTTTTTGCATTTGCTGCGATTCAGTCCAGACATTGCCGGTCTGAGAAGCACCCCCAGCCATGTTGCTCAGCTGTTGTCTGTCTTTTTACATTGTTCTAGTTGATTTAAAGTACCTATCACCAGCCGGGCGTTGGTGGCACATGCCTTTAATCCCAGCACTCGGGAGGCAGAGGCAGGTGGATCTCTGAGTTCGAGACCAGCCTGGTCTACAAGAGCTAGTTCCAGGACAGGCTCCAAAGTCACAAAGAAACCCTGTCTCGAAAAACCCAAAAAATAAAAAAAATAAATAAATAAATTTCCTATCACCAGACAATTGGCTTGGGCAGGGAAAGGTCTGGGAGACAGTGGGAATGTTGGTTTCAGAACCTCATGGCGACCAGCTGTTTTTGGATACTGGGCCCTCTGTGCAAACCCCTGAACAGCTGCAGTGGACCAGCACCACCTAAGCTGAAGACACTCCAGCTTTGACCACTCCCAACCCACACCGTCCTTGGAAAGAAACACTATGAGTCTGACACACTTGGTGAACTCTGATGACCTTTGAACAATTTTACCCAGGCCAGAAGAGGAGCACTTCCTTGATGGTCTCTCAGAAAACCTGTGGTTTGGTACAAACAAGGCCTTCGTTTGTGTGAAGGGCTGCTGGGATTGGTGCAAAGAGCCTTGCCATACCTCCTTTTCTTTTCTTTTTTGGGGGGGATTCAAGACAAGGTTTTTCTGTCTAACAGCCCTGGCTGTCCTGGCACTCGCTCTGTAGACCAGGCTGGCCGAGAACTCAGAGATTCACCTGTCTCTGCCTCCCAAGTGCTGGGATTAAAAGTGTGTGCCACCACCACCTGGCCATACTACCCTGAATGTGCTTGATATTGTATGATTTCAAAAGCTAAGCAGGGTGGGGCCATGCTTGGATGGGAGGCCCCTTTTTCTGAATATATCAGCAGACAGAGGCTCACTCTGAAGTCAGTGGGGATGTAACTCCCTGGACCACTCTTTGGTGTTGCATTATCAGGTCTGAAAGGACTTTTTTTTTTTTTTTCAAACAAGTAGGGAAGGCTAAGTTGATATAACAAAAAGGAAGCTGGGGCAAGAGAAGGCAGAGAGTTGAGACTGAAGATTATGGGAAAGCCAGAATGGAGAAACTGCTGCCTAGAGGTCCAGAGAGGTGTCAAGCTGAAAGGGCCATGGGTCTAACTCCTAGGCCAGAGAACTGTAACACTAGTTGCCATAGCAGCCAAAGCTCCCAGTACCTATGTCCTATTCAGTTGCCGCTCAGCTGCTCACTGTTGCTGCAGACTGCCAAGGATTCCAATAGCTGCCATCTGCTGGGGCCACTGGGTTAGAACCCAGAACAATAGCCTTCAAGCTAAGAGAGCTGTGTTTCTGGCTTTGACAGCTGGAGCTATAGGCCTCTTAGAGCTCATAGCTATAAGCTTCTCGGCCACTCCCTCAGTCTGGCTCTCAGGCCCTGACTTCCAGCACTAGAAGATAATATCACCTACTTCTTTGTGCAGAGAAAATGGAGCTCTGCTCCATCAGCTGACTGGTAACAAACAAAACTTGGAAGTAATATATGCTTACAGATGTCTACTGTCTTCTGCCTGGTTTTAGCAGTGTTTGTTGAGTGAAGAACCAAATACTGGGAAAGCTGTAGGATGCCCAGGTCAAATGGAGACTCCAGTACAGAGAAATCGATGGAGCTACTTACCAGAGGTGCCACCCTGGCAACTGTCTAGACCAGTGGTTTTCAGCCTGTGGGTCCGACCCCAGTGTGGTCACATACCAGATATCCTGCATAGCAGATATTTACCCTATAATTCATAACAGTAGCAAAATTATGAAGTAGCAATGGAAATGATTTTGTGGTTGGGGATCACCACAACAAGAGGAACTGTGTTAAAGCGTCACAGCATTAGAAGGTTGAGAACCACTGGTCTAGACACAGATGTTCAGGTCCTAAGGTGGAATGGGACAGAGAGAAGGAATGTGGACTGGAACAGATGAGGAAAGATAGCAATAGAGAGTACCAGAGAGAGAGAGACAACTGGAGACAGGACCACGGAGAACCCCTTGCCCACAGCTAAGACCTGAAACCCTAGGGGTAGGAAGGAGGCTTTTTGCCAGGGCAACCATTGAAGAGAAGATGCTGTCAGTGTCTCAGGAGCCCAGCACCGTGTGTCTTCTCATTCAAGATCTCACCCGCTTGGGGCCTGAGCCTATCGTCAGGCTTCCTGCTGTTATCGACTGTGCACCTGGTCTTACAAACGTATCACCCCATGGCTTTCAGCTCTCTCATCCAAAATAGGAAGTAGCTATCTTTACTCTCTTTGGGGGTTGTTTCAGGATTCAGGCAAGGGTGGCTGGCTGGACAGTGCCTAAGCATGTAAGCTGTAGCTGTGGCTATTTGGGGGGTGACTTAGGCAGTGTAGCCCTGTTTCACCTGATTCATTTTCTTGGCACCATGACCTACCTTTGTATTTTAAGGACTAAATTGTGCTCTCCCAAATTCAGGTTGGCATACTGACCCAAGGTGGTAGGTAGTGCTGGGAGTGTTTAGTAAGACATTACCACAAGGTGGCACTGGTTTTGTTTTTGTTTTTTAAAGACAGGCCCTCCTATGTAGCCTCAGCAGGCCTGGAACTCACTATGTAAACAATGCTGGCCCAGACCCTACCTGCTTTTAAGTACTGGGTGTGAATCACTATGCCCCACAAGACAACAAAAATAATTATATGTCATTATGTGTAGGTGTAGGCAGTGTGCACCACAGGGTACATTCGAAGGTCCTAGGTGAGCACGTGGGTTCTGAACCCAAGTCCTCAGGCTTGGAGGCACACAGTGAACCACCTTGCCAGTCCCCGGTGGTGCATTAGAGGTCTCACAGTGTCCCACTTGGCCATGAGTGGACATAGCAATGAGGTGGCCCAGACTGGGCTCCCAGCAACAGGGAACACCTAGGGCATATGAAGTTGCCACACCTTGCTGGGTGGTGGTGGGTGGTGCACGTCTTTAATCCTAGCACTCAGGAAGTAAAGGCAGGAGAATCTGTGAGTTCGAGGTCAGCCTGTTTTACAGAGTTCCAGGACAGCCAGGGTTACACAGAGAAATCCTGTCTTGAAAAACAAAACAAAAAAGTTGTTTGCTACCTATTGTCTCCGATTATAAAATGGGAGTTGGATTGGCTGTGACCTGACCCTTGAAGTTACACTGGAGTGCCTTAAACTTCTTCCCATGCACAGAACCATGTTTGCCAAAGACGACAGAAGAATCCATGACTACCCTGGTTGGTAAGAGTCTTCGGATCTTCCAAGCGGTTTCACAATGGTCACTTTAGAGGGTCAGTTCAGTCCAGGCCTCAGAATCACAAGTGAAATGTGTGTTTTTTTCTTTTTAACAGCAATTTGTCTAGAAAAGGAGACCATGTGGTATCATGCTAGATGTGGCAGGTTTAGGCAGGTTGACCAGGACATATAGGATCAGGTACCAGCACACAGTTGGGAGTCAACTGAGTGGCAAACATGGCACTGGGTTGACTCCTTGCCTGGAGAGGGTGTGAGGAAACAGGGAGAAAGCCTCAAAATTTGATGGCCCTGAGGAGTCATGTTCTATTGGACACATGGCACAGTGTGTGCCTGGAGGCTGCATCACATCCACCCTGGGAGTGGAGTAGATGCTCTTACTTTCTCCTCACAGCCGCTGTACAGGGGTCCAGCTTCAGCACACTGCCCAGGAGCCAGTGCATTGGTAATGCCCTGCTTCTCCCTCCCTGGGAGACCCCCCCAACCCCCCTGCTACAGCAGTGGAGGCAGGCAGGCCGGCAGGTGGGACTGCTTCACTCAAGACCAGAGGCACAAACAAGTTTTTGTATTGGAGATCAAGCCCAAAGCCTTGTGCATGCTAGCCAAGTGTTCCACTACCGAACTGTCACCTGTCCAGTGTAGAAAAGTTTTATTAGAGTTTGGGTTTTTAAAATGAGTGAGACACTAGCATCTAGACAGCTCCAGCCCGCAGGCCTGGCTTTCAGTGCTGTGACAAAGACCCTCAGGATTCTCCTTGCTACTGTACTGGACGGCTGTATCCTGCAGGCTGGTGAAAGACATGGGACATCACAGGAACGTGCTTTGATATAGAGCAGAGTGGGGTGGCCCTCATGACATCTCAGACCACCACTCTGGTCTGTCTAGCCTGACAGGTGGTGTAGGATGGGGCCGGGCTGGGTGCTGGCCTGGGCTGCTCGCTCATCCTGACAGTGATCAAACCTGGCTTGGGAGGGAGAGGCACCAGTGCCATGTATGTGAAGTGTGACCTGGGGTGTACAGAAGCCTGTCTTACCTGAGATGGGAGCAGTTGGGGAGGGGTGTGTGATCATATGTCCAATGACAGAAGCTGCCTACTATACATCCAAGCCTATGTGGGTGGCTCTGCCCTTGGGCATCTTATGCCTCTCAGGCCCATCCTGCCCCAGAACCAATTCCCAGTAGTGGGTCACTCCTTGGTCCTAGATCAGAGGCCCTTTCTGGACCATGAAGGTCTGTCACTCAGAGCAGCAATTCTTCCACAGCTCCTATATCTCCGAGGCCAGGAGGTGACATCGTCATGGTCCTGGAGGACGCTACTATTAACCTGGCCCTGCTGAGTGTCCCTACAGCTACCGATTCATAGTCACACTGCCAGTTCCCTACTCAGAGCCTGGGCTACCCCAACCACCCCTTCCTTAACTGAACCCCCACTTTTATTCCAGGTGTTAGAAGCCCCTCCACAGCTGGGGAGGGGACAGCCATGAATCTAAGCTGCAGGGTCTCAGCCTGGAACTGCATGGGGCATCTTGCTGATGCAGTGGGTACTGACAGATGAGAGATGTCTCTATAGGCACACCCCCAAGCAACAGCACCCCAGGGAGACCCACAATTCTCTCCTGGCCACAGAGAGGGACATAACAGGACATCGCCTCCATTTCAGAACAGTTCATCTAAGATGAGGAGAGGCGAGTGCTTCCGATTGTTGGAGCAAGGCCCCTGGCCAGTGTCTGTGTCACTGTGGGTAGATCCTGAGTGTGACTGGTCGGTCCTCTGTAGCAGCAGACAAGGCGCTAGCTGCTGTAAATGGCAGTGGATCAGACTTCTGGGTAGGTACCCTTTCCCCACCACGCTTCCCACTGGGCCATCAACTCTCTCACTTTGTGAAATAGGAACAGTGACCCTATGAACCCTACGAGGACCTCCCGTTGTCCCCATCAGCCCACGTGCAGACATCATCAGAGCTGCTCAGGTGAAGACAAGGCATCCCCGGGTTGTGACAGCCAGGACTGAGCAGCCCAGTAAGGTGCGATGAAGCAGCAATGGTACGCAGAAGAGGGAGGAGCACTGCCTACGGCTGCCCCAGGTGAGAGGGGTGTATGGACGCCACTGGTGGGACATCCTGTCCCAATCGGAGGCCACTCTAGCAGAGGGCACAGCACCCCTGGGTTTGGTGAGAGGAAGGAAGGAAGGACCGGGCGCTTGGAGCACAAGTCCTGCTGACTACTGGCTGGTGTGTCCCTGCCCTCCTCAGCTCCTTTACCCGTAAGGCCAGCACTGCCCTCAGGAAGCCCTGGTGGAGACTGAGGTCCACAGGCCCCACAGCAGTGGTGGCAACAGCATCAGAGACGGCAGTGCAGACTTGTGTGCATCTGAAGTACAGGAGCATACTGCCAGGCTGTCTTGGGCCCCACTGCGGCCCTGAGGGCCGGGCCCAACATCCTCTGCATCAGCCAGTGGCTCACCGCATACCAGCCAGTCCCGGGCTGTAGACTGTGGGTACCCAGGTGCTGCCTCCAGTTCACCATCCAGCACTTTCCAGTACTCCTGGCCTCGGAAGAAATAGGATGCACCTGTAGAGGGAAAAGGAGTGTGTGGGGGGGGGGCTGAGCTGGTGTCTCAACCAAGGGGGAGGGCTCTACATGGAACAGTGTGGTTGAGTACAGAGCTCGGGGTCGAGGGGACCTGGGACATCTTAGGCAGGCTGTCTGGGCCATGCCTGTCAGAAATACGAGCCTGACATGGGCAGCTGGAGAAGACTCTGGGACACAGGGATGGACTGTCAACCTCCATGCGTCCTTGCTGGAGTTTACCCAGCATTGGTTTGTTATGGACGGGGGCTACAAGTGGGATATAGGTACTCTGAGGAAAACATACAAAGGGTGGAAGTCCTGTGTGTTTGGGGAGTGAAAAGCAGGAGGTCAGGACCAGTGGCGGAAGGAAGCAGAGCCAACAATGGAGCTGAGGAGAGAGGTGAGGAGGTCCTGGGCCACTCAGAGCTCACAGATAGGTGAAGTGTAGGGTATACAGTGGTTCAGGGAATCCCACCCCACACCCCATCGTAATCCCTTATCTACAGTTAAGGAAACATGTTGGACAGCATTGTCCCCTGCCCGGTGCTCACCATCAGACCAGCGCATGGCATCATCCAGCATGCTGGGGACACCCCTCCACAGGGGGCCCTGGACAGGGTAGCCAGGGTCCATGCGCCGTGTGTGGTCATCATAGCGCCAGTACAGCTGGTCCTTAAAGAAATAAGTCCTGTCATTGTGGGCCCAGGAGAAGACAGCATCGATGCCACCTGGTGGGAGGCTGAAGTCGGAGACGGGTCGCGGGTACCCTTCCTCTACGTTGTTGTCCTTAAACACCCAGTATCTGTCTCCTGGGGGTGAGAGAAAGAGCCATAGGCTGCGGCAAAGGCTCCAGTCTTGACTTTGCCCAGTGTCCCCCATCTTCACCCAAGTGGCAGTATAAGGCAGTTACCCCTGTCACCAAGTCCAGGAGGAGACTTGTCTGACATTTAATGAGCACCTTCTATATGCTTGGTGTGGGTCTGAAAATCAGATCCTATTCTGGCAGTCACTTAGACACATGAAACCAGGACAACTTGCCCTGCTCCGTGACTATAATGTGTGAGGGGTAGGAACATCCCCTCCCCACTTTTGAGACAGGGTCTCAAATGGCCCAGGCCAGTCTCAAACTCACTAATGTAGCCGAAGGGAAGACCTTGAACTTCTGACCCTTTTGCCTCCATTACCTGAATGTTAGGATTAAGGGCATGTGCCACCATGTCTTGTTTATGTTTTTTCTTGAGACAGGGTTTCTCTGTGTAGCTTTGGAGCCTATCCTGGCACTCTGTCTGTATATCAGGCTGGTCTAGAACTCACAGAGATCCGCCTGCCTCTGCCTCCTGAGTGCTGGGATTAAAGGCGTGCGCCACCAACGCCCGGCTCTGCTTATGGGGTTCTAAGTATTGGACCCAGGCCTTCACACATGCCAAGCAGGCGCCTTAACAACTGAGCTACATCTCCAGGCCAGATATGGCCATCTTATGGCAGAGAATGGCAGAGGGCATGCAATTGCGAATGAAATGCAGGTCTCTCTGTGAGACATTATGAACCAAGACACTGAAGAACTGTTGGGCTCAATGGGAGCAAAGACAGATGGGCTGGCTAGGACCAGACAGGCTCCATCCAGGGATACTAGGGATATCAGGTGGCTCCTGGATGTTTCCAGGACAGAGATGGTATGTTCAGACCACCACCAAACGGGATGGGTCAGACACTGTGGGTGAGATTCCTGATCCATAGGAAACTCGGGCACACAAGGGGTGAAACCTAGGGTGGTAGATACTGACTGGGACCCTGGTGATGCAGGAGTGGTGTCTATGGACTAGATGAAGTTATAGTCACTGTGGCCTCATTGGCTCAGAGGGCCAGTGCTTAGGAACAAGGAAAACTGGTCTTGGGGTTCACAGCCAAGTCTCAACTGAAAGTCCTAGAGAAAAGAAACTGGTCACCCTGGGGACACACAATGAATTCTAGGCCAGCCAGAGCTACACAGTGAGACCTCAAAGGCATAATGGTTAATATTGCCAACGTTGACAGCATGAGGATCAAGCCTTTGGGCATGCCTGTGAGGGACTTTAGATTGGTCTGAGGTGGGAGGACCCACCTAGAATGTGGGCAGCACTGTCCCTGGGCTCAGATCATGGACTGAACAAACAGGAGAAAGCAGCGTCCATCACTCCTGTCTCGTCCTCTTGCCACCACTCCTTCCCTAACATGATGGACAGAATGCCCGGGAACTGTGCACCACAATAAAACCTTCTCCCTTAAGTAGCTTCTGTTGGGTATTTAGTCACAGTATCGAGTGAAGTCACTAATACATGAAGCCATGCTGGCCAGGCTGCTCAGTGTCCTCACAGGGACCTGAGCTGGGAGGGTGATCTCAGGATGGTAGCATCACTGAGCTGAGGATGAGCCACTGCTCACACCAATCCCAAGTTTCTGTCCCAGAGCTGAGACAGAAAGAATTCCGTTTCTACCTGTGTATGGGCCCAGGAGGCTCACACCTCATACGTGCTCACCTCCTGTCTATACCTTCCTCCTTCATAACCTAGGCAGGCCTCCAACTTGCTACATGGCTAAGGATGACCTTGAATTTGCACTCCTCCTGCCTCTAACTCCCAAGTGTTGGTATTAATAATACACCTGGTACATGCCATGCTGGGGCACAAACCCAGGGCTTTGTGCACTTGAAGCAGGTATTCAAGCAATGCAATGATATCCACAGTCCCCCAGCCACCTGACTTTTGGGAGGCAGTCTCAGTATGTAACCCAGGCTGGCTGGGAATTTGTAGCAATCCTTCCAGCCTGCCTGGGCTTCCTGGTGCTGAGATTATAGGAATGTGCTACCATCCTGGCCCAGGTCCCCTTTCCTTTCCTATGGGATAGATGTGGATGTAAGAGACGCATCCCGTCCAAGGCCAGCAGTGAAGGCTAGGAGCCCTTTCTTCAGAGTTAGGGTGGGGTGGGGTGGCCTAGACAGAGGCAAGCAGCTAGGGTCTGTGGCTTCACATTCCCCCTGCATTTCACTCTCTGAGGCCCCAGGGGCCGCTCTCTTAGTTCTCTACACTCAGGGGCTGTTTCTGCCCGGCATGGGGAGGAGAGGTTGTCTTCACACTGGCTGCAAACCTGGCTTGGACTTTGCCTGCTATAGTTTTCTCTCTCCCATCACCTCTAGTGCTTCTTTGAAATAAATTCCCTCCTGTGTAGGAGCTTCTCATGCCCTGCTCCAAACCTTAGCTCTCCACCTGCCCTGGCAGAGATTTTTTGGGTTGTTTGTTTCCTGTGTGTGTCTGCAACGCCCCCTACAGGATGAGCCAACAGTAGGCCTCAATACACATCCAAAGAAGATATAGCTGCTCTTTCAGACTGGTGGAGCACACCGTCCAACCAGGCTGGAGGCGCAAGGTTACAACCAGGGTTGGCAGGGTGCAGGGGAAGGTGAGGCAGGTCAGATGGCACAGGAGGAGGCCAGGGCAAGCTGTGGCCCATGGGCAAAATCCACTCACCTTTGAAGAAGACGATCTTGTGGTCACTAGTACGCTCATACACAGCATCCACACTGTCCAGGTGCAGCGGCAGGCCCCGCCAGAAGCGATGCATTTGAGCTGGCTGCAGGGACACCAAGTGCCTGTCCCGGGTCAGTCGCCAGAAGTACTTGCCTGGGTGATGAAAGGGAAGGTGGCTGCAGGAGCCTGTGTGGCCATGGGGATCTGTCCTTCCATCCCACAGGCCCCAGGGTCGTTACCTTTGAAGAAGAATGCTTCACCTCGGATCTGGGCCACTGCATCAAAGTGGGCAGTGCACCTGTGAGGGACGTCTTTCTGGGGCCTGCAAAGCAGAATGTAAGATGGGCTGACAGGGAGAGCACCCAACCCAAGCAGCTGGATGAGCTACTCTGGCCAGAATCACACACACACACACACACACACACAAACAACCCTGTCTCCACATGGTAAGCAGTGCCCACCAGGTAAGAAAGGTCAATTAGAATGAGGGCCCAATAAGGCTATAAGCTACATCGTTGAGTCTGAGGCTAGCCTAAGGCTATGAGACTGGCTCAAAACACCAAAGCCAACTCCGGCAAAACCTAAAATACCAGACAACAGTACTCCCAAACAAACAAATAATGATGACAAAAAACAAACAAACAAAAAACAAAAAACCCAACAAAAACCCAAAAGCAAATAATGTAAGCTTAAGTCAGGTTTGTAGCTACACCAAGCCTACAGTCCTGGACTCAGGAGGCTGAGGCAGGAGGATCACCATTTTCTGGTCAACTTAAGAGTTGGGTTTCAATTGCCTGGGAATGAAAAACATTCCCAGGAGGGATAGTCCTTATGATGTAGGAGGGAAATGAGACTCCTAAGTCTCATGAAGTTCCTAAACTTTCAAGAATCACAGGCCTCTTTCTGAAGTTATATAAGACTGCTAGGGGAGAGGAGATGCTCCGATTGGCTGAGCTCCCTGCCAGTCATGCAGATGTTCTAAGGATGCAGCGTTTGAGTCCTCACTCAGGCTGGGGTAGGCTTTTTAGTAATGAATCTGCCTTTATGTCACCCATACTCTTATAATAAGCAGCCCTCACCAGTACTCACCACAGCCCCTAGCAGCTGGTGAGTAGCCCAGAAAACTCACTGGTCACTAAGCTAGACTAGAATCCTTTCTTTGGTCTGCCATGGGAGCCCTATCTGGGGTTCAGAGATGCTTCTATAACTCACTAGAAGTCATGCAGCACCGGGCTTCACAGCAAGACCTTGTCTAAAATGAGAGGGAAAGGAGCTGCAGAAATGGCTCAGTGGTTAAGAAGACCCAGGTCGGTTCCCAGCACTCATGCTGGGTAGCTCAGAACTGCCTGTAACTCCAGCTTCAAGGGGATCCAACCACTCTGGCCTCTGTAGGCACTATAGGACCATGCACATATCCACACACAGACACGTAATTTTTAAAAATCCTTAAAATAGATAGAAAGGAAGGAAGAATAGCTTCACAGCTTCCCAGGTAAATAAGGGTCTCAGCATGTAGAGCTCCTTGGGTAGGGCTGGGATGTGAGTATTCACTGATGCACATTGGAGATGAGAGAACCAGTGTCACACTCCAGAGACTGAGTGGGTCTTGCACTCTTGCTAACTGTGCAAGCATGGGACCGTAGAGCACTGCCCTATACAAAGGGGCTTGAGAACAGAACTGTGGGGAAGAGCAGGTGGTCAGTGAGAGAGTGTGATGGAGACCTGAGAATAGTGTGTACATTTGCTGAGAGGCAGCCAGTCCTGGGGGTCTGCTGCAGAGGGCCTCCCAGCAAACTTCCTGCCAGGGCCACACACACTGGTATTCACATGCACGAGGACACTCACCCTTTGTCATATGCAGAACCCTCTGGCAGGGTGTGTGACCTAAGGAACTGAGTGGGAGGGGTTGGTAGGAGAAAAATGATTCTTGCAGGGATATATCTCAGTTATAGAATATCCTGGGTTCAATTACCACTTAAAAATGAAAAAAAAAGAAAAAAAGAAAAAAGAAAGCCAACTGTATGGCTTTGTTTTATCTCATGCCTGAATGCCAGCACTCAGGAGGCAGAGGCAGGGTGTTCCTGAGTTTGAGACTAGCCTATGCTATGTAGCAAGTTCCAGGCCAGCCAGGGTTATACTGCAAGATCCTATCTGAAAAGAATCAACATGGGGTCAGTGAGGAGGCTCGGTTCATTACAAGTGCTTGCTGTCAAGACTGATTACCAGAGTTCAATCTCTAGGATTAATATGGTGGGAAGAGAGAACCAGTTCCCACAAGTGTGTGTGCATGTGTGTACATGTGCATGTGTGCATGCACACACACTCACATATGCATACATACATACATACATACACACACACACACACACACACACACACACACACCAGGTGGTAGAGTATTTGCTTATTATACACGGGGTCCAAGATTGACTCTCAGCATTGCCATTGCACACACCTGGGCTAGTGGTACATGCCTGTAATCCCTGCACTTGGAAAAGAGAGGATGAGAAGCTCAAGGTTGTTGTCATCCTTAGCTACATAGAGAGTTTGAAGTCATCTTGGAATACCAAACCAAACCAAAAAGTATCAACAAAACAAAATGACACAGGGCTTGGGGTACAGCTCAGTACATTTGCCTTGCATGAGCAAGGCCCTGGGTTTAATCTCCAACACAAGAAACACACACACCCCTTCAACAGATAGGAATTCATGGTTGGTTGAGCATATTGGCTCACACCTACAACCCCAGCACTTGAAAGGTGAGTTGGAAAAATTGCAGTTTAAGGCCAGCCTGGGCTACAGACAAAGACCTTGTCCCCTCCAAAATAAAATAAACAAAAACCCAGAACTAGCAGAGCAGTGTTTTGATTGCCACAGCAGTTCGTAGTATACAGTCACAAGTAGAACCGTCCAAAACAGAAACAAAAACCAGAAGCCCAGCTGTGTGGGGGCACAGCAAGGGGCTCAGGGTCAGACAAGAGAAGGAGCAGGCTGAGTAACAAAAGGTTGCACACTGTGGTAGCTCTCAACATAGTCCCTGTATTAAGGAACCCAGTTGCCATAATGAGAGCCCAAGTTCCAGGAACAGGGCACAGATGTGTGCCTGGGGGAACTGTCTGGATAAGGTCAGCTCTACAGAGGGACTGACACTAAAGATACCGAGTTTTCCATATGCCAAACAAACCACCCATTTACAAGATCTTTTAGTCCCCAAGATCCTGGGCTTTGTGAACCAGGCTATAGGAGGGACTGTTTGGGATTCACTGTAGCTCCCTGGGGTAACAGATCCTTTCCCCTCCCCTATCTCCTATTGGAAGGTCTAAGAGAAGGCAGTATCCACCCCCAGGTGCAGTCAGCACACACAGCAATGCCTTCTTCAGGATCCTGGGCCTTAATGGGTATTATGAGCTTAGAACTGACAGCATTGGATTAGGACAGGCTGGCCAAGGTACAGTGACAAGTGACATGACTTACGGGATGCTAGACCTATTGTTGGGGGGCTCCGGCAGGAGGGGTGGTTCCTCAGGCTCTGGAGTACCCAGCTGTGCTGTCGGGGACACTGACTCCCGCACACCTGTGGAGACAGAAAGAGTGCATTCAACCCAGGGCCTCAGTCTTACCAGCCTATCCTGGGGCCCTGTGCCTGCCGGAGCCTGGGCTGTGAGGCTGGAGGTCCCCAGCTTCGCTCATTCAGCCAGATGGGTGTCCAGGTGTTGCAGACCACTGCAGCATGCCTGTGAACTATGCTCTACCCCAAGGGCACATCAGTGTCCCTCACAACCACACTCCTGGGTCGACACCCCTGAAAGATGGAGGCCAGGTGATCCACAAGAATTCTGCACCAATGTCTGCACTGAACTTGTTCAGCAATGGGAAAGAAGCAGGCCCCACTCTGGTGAGGGAGAAACCTTGAAAACACTGCACTTGGGTGGTGGTAGGAGGGTAGGGGTGGGAGAAACCACTAGCCACAGAAGGTCCCACTCTGCATGGCTCCCTTTCCTCCAAGTGTTTCACCCCAGGCAATCTTTAGACATCCCCTTGAGGATTAGGTCAAGGTAGTGGGAGTTTTGGACCTAGACAGGGTGGCACTTACACAACTCTGTGACTGTGACAAGCACGTGTGTGCCCTTGGAGACTGGGGATTTTAGTGTAATAGAAACAACACTTGGGCTGGAAAGAGGACTCAGCCATTAAGAGCACTAGTTGCTTTTGCAGAGGGCCTGGGTTCTGTTCCCAGCACTCACACCTGTCCATTAACTCTAGTTCCAGGGGATCTAATACCCTCTTCTGTCATCCATGGGCACCAGACACACATATGGTGCACATATATAGATGCAGGCAAGCAATTCTCACACAGGAAAAGTAACACATGGGGCTGGAGAGGTAGCTCAGTGGTTAAGGGCACTTGCTACTCTTGCAAAAGACCTGGGTTAGGTTTCTGACATCCACACGGTGGCACACAAACTGCCTGTAACTCCAGTTCCAGAGGATCTGACATACTCTTCTGACCTCTGTGGGCACCTGCATGCATGTGGCTCGCGTACATATATTCAGGCACTCACACACAAAAAAGGAAATTCTGCAAAAATAAACAAACCACCACCACAACAAAAAACTCAGTAAAGATGGGATGGGGAGATGGAGCATGGAACGGCAGGTTGGGGAGTGTAGAGTGAAGCTAGAGGCTAACGGGGGAGGAGAATGTTTCTGTATACTGAACATCACCTCCCTCACCCCATCCAGGGTATCATCTCCTGGATGGACATGGGCAGACACCTCTACTTATTTCCTGATGTGTCTTGAGAGCAGCTCTGGGTCAGATTTTGTTCCTGTTTTGGCTGTTTATACTCCTGTGGGCTATGCTAGACAAGCTGCCTGCCTCTCATTCTCATGGATCTACTCTAGCAAGCTACCTACCTCTTGATCCTGAGGGCTATTCTGGGCAAAGTGCCTGACTTTTGGTCCTACAGGGGTATCTTCATACTCTTATGCGCTATCCTGGGCAAACGGCTTCTTCTTGATCCTGTAGGGATATTCTTTCATTCTTATGAGCTATCCAGGACAAGCTGCCTGACTGGGGTCCACCCCAGAAGTCCTGTTCCTCCCTTAGAGTCATGTGATTAGATAGCTAATTTAGCACACACCCAGTGCTTTGTAGGCCTGGGTCCACCTTTACTGCTGCCAAGACTCTTTGAGGGATGGATGTGAAATCCCCAGGGCTCTAGGACCCTGGAGAGCAGCAACAGAAGGCCATGGCCTGTGTTCCACGCTCCTCTCTCTGTTCCATTCCCAGCAGACATCATGTGCCCACGGGGTTCTAGACTAAGAGGGCACAGCCATGAGCAGAGCTCACGATACCCAGAGCATCTGTTTCTAGTCCCACCTTCCATGTGGTTTGGGGACACTCACCGTATAACTGCCAGACACGCACCCTGTCCTCATAGGGAAGCCCATAGCGTAGTGGGTCACCCACGGGGCCCTGGTAGTATGGCTGCATGATGGAGCTTGGGGCAGCAACATGGCTCAGACCAATGGCGTGACCAAACTCATGGACAGCCACTGCAAACAGGTCCATCCCATGGGCATCTGAAGACACAGAAACTGCATGAGCAAGGGAAGACAGCACCCTCTCACTCAGGATGGGGCTGGAATATAGAGCTGGTGCTCACAGGATACCTGCATCCGGGCTGTGCTGGGGGCTCCAACTAGCCACATGAGTGCTGCAGGTCTGCTGAGACCATGCTGGGCTCTTATGGAGACCCTGTGTGGCTGGAAGCTTTCCCAGGGGCCTCTTACACTTTCACAGTATGGAAGTCAGCCCCTTTAATGCTAGACCACAGTTGCTACATGCCAGGATTAGCAGGATTTTCCAGGCTCAAATACAGTGGTTGTCAACCCCCAGACCCTACGTGAGAGGTCTGGGTTCCTGTGCACTGGGCAGGGGACTAGCTGATGTCAAACACTTGGTGGATCAGTATCATAAGAATGACCCAATGGGTCTCACTCAGTGGAGTAGGACTGAACTGTTTAAGCCTAAGCTGGGACTTGTTCTAGGAACCAGAGCTACATTTATCTCTTATAGGTGCAGGGTGTTACTGTAGGGTCTGCAGGGCCCACAGGGGCTGCCCAGGTCCAGGGTTCCAAATACTCAGGACTAACCCCCTACCTACACACCTGAGGAACGGAAGGTCCATGCCTCGTCGTCATCAAAGTGGGTGTCCCCTGCTGTGTGGTGGTCACCGGGGAAGAATGCATGGGCCACTGTGCCACCAGGGCCATCAAAGGGGTAGCCATCATTGTGGTCGGCCTTGGAGAAGTCGATCTGGATGTCAGCAGTGTTGCCCGCTACCTCGTGGAAGTTCAAGGGTGTGATGTCACTCCAGACCTTGAGGGCGTAGTACATGAGTGCACGAACAGTATCCCGGCCCAGGGGTGAGTCCCGTGGGAATGTCCGGACCCTAGGGTCAGGGTCAGAGTGGAAGCCAGCTGTCCCTGAGGCCTTTCTGGACCTCCCTCTGGGGTGAAGTGTTGCACCTCCTTGGCATGAGTATTCCCTTATGTCTGCCTGTTTCTAGCCCCCAGGAGAGGAATGTAGATGAGTCCAGGGGGGATATGCAAATGCTAGCTTTCCAGATGGGTGGGCTGGGTCTCAGTGCCTGCTCTACCCTCTATCCACAGTCTACACACTGGTAGGATCCTGTCTGAGCTGGTCTGGCCCCAGGGATGGCAGAAGGACAAAGAAACACTATCCTGGGGAGCCCCCACCCTGGCCACGCACCTCCAAGAAAGGTTCCTCTTGCTCCATTTGGTTGGTGGTGGAGTCTGTCGCTTCTTTCTTACTTGAGCACCAGGGGGCAGGTCCGGAAGGGAGCAGCGAGGGGTCTTCATTAGGGCCAGAGTGGCCTCATCTGCATGATAGACACTGGTCACCAGGTAGGCCTGACTCCACCTCCCCAGGGAAGATCCCAAAGCCCCCTTAGGACCAATGGCCTCAAGGTGTGATCAAGCTCCCACCAGGTTAAAGGCAACTTTCAAGTTCATGGCTCTGGCCAGTCTGAATCTTCATTGGCTAATTGCAGGGTCCTGAGTAGCTAGGATGGGTATGGCCATGCTGGCACAGCCCTGATTGAACCAAAGAGCCTCCTGGTGGCTCCTGGAAAACTAACCCAGGATGCCAGTGGTCTCCAGGCCGCCAAACTGCTGCATGGCAGTAATAGCCTTGGACAGTTCCTCCTGGGTCTGTAGCTGTCCTGTTGCTGGGTCTGCAGGAGGCAGGTAGCCAAACCTGCTCAGCCACTCCTGGGGACACAAAACAGAGCAAGAGGTTGTTAGGATAGGGCTCGCCCGAGGAGGAGCTGGCCAAGCTCTTGATTGTTACAAGGGAAATGTCTCTTGAGTCCTGGCAACCCTCCCACCCCCACCCCGTGCCAATATCTCTGTCCTTAAATCTGGTTATAAGCGGTGAATAAATGTGAAGCCTGAGATGGAGTGAACATGTGCAGGAACAATGTTTGCCAGCAACCACTAGATGGTGCTGCAGTCCACATGCCAATTGTGTTGACCACCCTGCCTGAGGTATGCACCTGTCTGGCTCCAGTTGACCCAGAGGTCCTGTAGGGCAGGATGCTCTGAGCCAAAACCACCCTCCTTTTCAAGAAGGGCACAAGCAAGGGGCCCAAACCTGCAGTCTAATTTCTTTCCATCTCATCAACAGATACACACACATACAATTTTGAAACAGGGTTTTGCTGTATAGTCTTGGCTGGCTATGTAGATCAGGTTGGTCTCAAAATCCCAGAGATCAGCCTGCTTCTGCCTTCCAAGTGCCAGGGTTAAATGCACCTGCCACCACACCCAGCTACACCACCTTTTGAGAGACGGTCTCATGAAGCCCCATTTGGCTTCAAACTCACCCTGCGGTCACAGATGACCCTGAACTTCTGATCCTCCTGCTTTTCCTGGGCTGAGATTACAGGCATGGATTACCATGCAAGCACTCTCCTTACCATTTTTTTAATGTTTAATTATCCCAATTAAAGGTTGTACACACCTTTAATTCTAGCACTTGGAAGGCAGTGGCAGACAAATCTCTGAAAGTTTGAGACTACCTTGGTCTACACAGAGTTTTCCAGGACAGCCAGAGTGACACAGAAAGACCCTGATCAAAAAAGACAACAAAAAAATTAAATGATGTGGCTGTGTGTGTTTACACATGTATGCAGATGACTTGGACACCAGAAGCACTAGGTATCCTTGGAGTTAAGAGGCCATTGTGAGCTGCCCAGTGTGGGTGCTGGGAGCCCAACTAGGGTCCTCAGCCAGAGCAATAAGTACTCTTTTTTTAAAGGAGTCTGGAGAGATGGCTCAGAGGTTAAGAGTACTGGCTGTACTTCCAGAGGTCTGAGTTCAATTCCCAGCAACCACATGGTGGCTCACAACCATCTGTAATGAGATCTGGCACCTCTTCTATCATACAAGCAGAACACTGTATACATAATAAATAAATTCAGATTGTATATTTTATTTTGTGTGAGAGTGTTTTGCCAGCATGTATATATGTGGCCACATGCATGCTTGTTGCCCACAGGTCAGAAGACAGCATAAGATCCCCAGGACTGGAGCTATGGGTGGTTGTAGACCCCCATGTGGGTGCTTGGAATTGACCCCAGGTCCTCTTACTCACTGAGCCATCACTCCAGCAGCTTATCCACCCTTTTTGAGACAGTGTCTCATCTTGTAGCCCTGGAATTTGTTATGTAGACCAGAATGGCCCTGAACTCACAGAGACACTCCTCCCCAGTGCTGGCAGGCATTAAAGTTGTGTACCATCACACCCAGTAACCTACTTCTGTTTTGATGGACACTTAAATATCACCCATTATGTCCTTCCTTGTTCCTCCAGGTCTGAGGATGCTACCCAGGCTCATCTCCTGGGCTGGTTACTGCTGCTGCTGGCGGTTTCTTGGGAGCCCAGTGATGTAGATGGAACTGGGTTTCATCTCCCAGGACTCCTTGGGGCCTCAAGCAGGGGCAAGCTACCCAGGCTAGGAGGTCCAGTCTGGATGATGTAATTTGATTAAGTTTACAGTGTGCCTACCAGGTCCTCTCGCTGGATAACATGTATCCTTGCTGGGATTTCTCTGTTTCAAAACTCATCCTACCCCAAATCTCCCTGTAGCCTGTCAGTGTGTATGGGGATGCCAGCGATCAGCTTCTAAGGCTGAAGTGCAGGGCCTTCATCAAGTACAGGACAACATCCCCAATGCAGCCTGAAAAGTGAGAGTCATGCCCCTGGTGCAGGCCCAGAACTCTCCACTGCCCCATTTTGGGTTCTGTTTGAGACCAGCTTGGTGAGCCCTGTTTTAAACTCTCCTCTCAAAAACTATTTTAACAAGTTAGTTGTTTTCAAGTATCAGAATACACACACACACACACACACACACACACACACACACACATTTTCATATCTCAGCCACAGGGTCCCATGGCTGCCTTTCCTTCCTGCAGGAAGCCCCGCTGGAGCTTCCTCAGCCCATACATGGAACATCTCAGGGAGAATGGGTCCTTCTGACAGTGCATATGGAGAACAGGGGGTTGGAGGTCCTGACCCCCTAAGCTGGGATAGTAGTTGTTGCCTGTCTAGAGCAGAACATAATTTGGGCTTGCAGCACTGCACCTGCAATCCCAGATGCCCTGCCCCCACCAAGAGGGCACTCAGTCCTCTGCATGATGGTAGCTCCCTCCCTGTATGCAGCCAAGACCTTTCTCCACAGTGCTGAGTTCTGGGAGGGGCTGACTACAGTGGGCTTTGGCTTGGGGAGGTGGGTGATTGCCACTCAGGTGGACACACAAGAGACAGCCAACTGACAAAAAACATACATCAGCAGAGTATGGGTGTGTGGAAGCCGCAGGCAGCCAGCCAGCTCATCCATCTTCAGTCAGGTGAACCCCAAATACTCAAGAACTTCACATTATCTTCTGGGACTAGTGGCTGATAAATGTCAAATGAGGATAATGGGCCACTAAGATGGTAGTTAGCCTAAGGGGACTTGGGACTGCCTAGGCTGACAAAAGCCACCTAGAGGAGAAGATTTATGCAGAAGAGGCAGCCTTGACTGCCTTGGAGGCAGTCCCTTGTCACCATACCTGACCTGCTCTGACCCCTACAAGGTGTACAAGCCCCTCCCCACCTCAATGTCTGCAGCAAGGTAGCCAGAGATAAGTCTTCCTCACTTCCTCTCCCCTGTCCCCTAATACCTACAGAGCTGGGACCACAAACCCTGTCCTGGGCCGCCAGCTTCCTGCTTGCCTGCTTGGTCCTCCTTCCACTGTCGCCACGGAGACAGACCACTGTCTCCAGGGCAACGGAGGCTGCAGCAGGCGGGTGCTGTGAGGCTTAGGGTGAACCTTCCAGAAGGCCAATGGGGAGGAGGGTGAGACCAGGAGAAGGGGAGTCCCACCCCCAAGGGCAGACACCCTTTCCTCCCAGCCCAGGCAGGGAACTGGACCATTACTGCAGACCAGTACTGAGGCTGGCTGGGCAGTCAGGGATTCCTGCACAGATGTAAACATGCAGTCAGTCAGCACTGGCCCCCTCCTCTTTCCCATCTTGCTGTTGCGTTTATCACCATTTGACACAATGTGTATCTTTTTACAGCTCTAACGAGGCATAATGTGTACAGCGTTACAATCCTTCAGCTGGCTTTAGCAAATTTATAGAGAGCCCAGCCGCCACCCCAACCCCTGTGCTGACTTACTCAACTGTCTCATGGAACCTGGGTAGCTCTGCCCACAGCCTTGGTCAGATGCTGCTGTGGCCCCAGGAGCCTGCGAAGCTTGCCTGGCATCTGGACTTATTAAACTTATGACTTCTCTAACTGGACTCACCAGCTGGAGGCAAGCAAATGTCACCAGCCCCATCTCACAGCTGAATCCAGATTCCTGTCCTTCCAACCAGTGTCAGGAGCAGGGCTAGCTCCTGACAGATATACAGTAACGATATATGCTATATATCATTCATATTACATAGGATAACTGTAGGTGCTACAGTGCATAGGCAGTGCCACCTCTGGCTGCTCACTCCTCACACTTACTACCTTCCATCCATACACAACCTCTCAGGCCCCTGTCAGGGCAATACCAGTGGAACCCCTCTCCCGCTACAGTCGAGGAAACTGAGGCCCAGAGGAGCTGAGGAAGCTGTCCATAGTTACACAGCCAGTGGGATACACAACTCATTTATTTATTAATGAGTATGTACGTATGTGTGAGTGTGGAAGTCAGAGGACAAGTTTGGGGGCTACCCTCAAGGAGCACTGTCCAGCTTCATTGCAACAGGGCCTCTCACTGGCCTGGAGTACACAGAGGCAAGATTATCTGGCCAGCATCTCCAAGAATCCTGTTTTCTACCTCTCCAGTACCAGGGTGCAGGCCTTTAATCCCAGCACTTGGGAGGCAGAGGTGGGCAGATCACTGAGTTTGAGGACAGCCTGGGCTACACAAAGAAACCCTGTCTTGAGAACCAACCAACCAACCATGTTCCACCATGCCAAGTGGGTACTTGTGAGCAGGAGCCCAAGGGGGCTAGGGGCTAGAGTTCTGGGCAGTTGTGAGCTACCTGCTGTATTAGGAATCACACTTGGATCTTACATACATGCTCTTAAGTGCTGGGCCATCTCTCTAGCCCCGTAACCAGCTTTTTTAGAGGGTTCTGGGAGTTGAACTTGTGTCCTCATGCTTGCATGGCAAGCACTTTACTGAGTGAACCCTTTTATAAAGCTAGATCCTAGCAGGTAGCTGGAGTGATACCATGCCCACATCTTCTTGACCATGCCAAGGGCTGGCTGGGAAGGGTGGTAGGTAGACCAGGGCGGATCTGTCCCTAAGGGAGCACTATGGAGGGAGGGTGAATGAAGACCATGCTCATATTGTCTCAGGCCACTGCTGTCCTGATGGCAGCTGCTCCAGTGACCCTAGCTAAGAGCACTGAATGCCTGTAAAATACTTGTATAGCTCCACATAGCCCCCAGGATGTGGGGAGGATGGTAGGCACTTTTTCTCTTCTGAGCCCTCCTTTATGCACAGTGGGCATTCTGTAAATCACTGCAAATCAACCCAAAGAAGTGGGTGCTGCTGGTACCCCATTTTACAAACAAGGGAAGAGAAAGAAGCACAGAGAGGTCAGGGCACTGACCCCAGTCACACAGCACGGGAGTGCAGAGCTGAGGCTAGAGCTGTCTGGCTTCTGGGCTTATCCTGTAACCACTGCAAGGGAAGGGAGGGATGTGACAGAGGGGACA